CAAAGATGGTTTATCTTTTCTAGATATGTCAGTTAGCAGAGAGAGAACTAAATTAGGTAGATGTGTATAGGAAATCCACAAAAGCAGGTTTCTTTCTGAATTTCTTATCTAATCACGTTTATGGAGTATGAATTATGAAGTAGGGAATAGGTCTCTCTTTTGCCCCGAACATGCTGTGAAAACGAGGTCAAGCTAACAGTAAGAGTTTTGAAGTCTGTGAAATTTAAGAGCTTGAGCCTGGTAGATGTTAATCATCGGATCCAGGAATTTAGACGACTAGGGAGAATTGTTGCCGAGATCAATTATTTACGATTGATTGACTATTATTCTAGAATACTGTCAAATAGGATGGAGGTAAATACATATTTGGCGCTAGAACATTCTACCAGTGATTATGCTGCCATCTTGTAATATCTCGGAGAAGATAGGTGAATTACTAAGTAGGACATCAATACTAATAATAAAGATAAAGACACTTTCCTTGATAATGCTTCTTTTTTGATAATCTTCTGATCCTTTCTCCAGATCGGGCTGCTACAAGATTTTGTGTTAATTCGGTGGTGCCTATAAGAGGTTATCTGAACACAAAACAGGCTGCAGGGATTTCTGGGCCTCAAAATCGGAATTGACCGGACACATGACTCGCAGAGGACGCCAGATAGACTGGTCTAATGCCAAACGCTTAACTGGATATGAAAAACATACAATTAAGCGGAAAACTGAGGGAATCAATATAAATCAACAAGGCCGCCAACACCTCGAATAAAAGGTATGAGTGTAGGAAATAAAGCGGAAGCTACTTCTGGCTGTTGGACAGGATTAGAGACAGAGATAGAGAGAACGAGAAGGACCACTGAACAAGAGAAGGCTTAATAAGCCTTGAATCTGGTTTTGAGTATTGCATCTACACAGCACACATGCAATGGAATTTAATCACATGCCTCAGCATGGGAGAATCATAAATATAATTATGTAGGGGAGGATGCAGCTGGTTGGTCACAATTGCATCCGTTTCGCGCTTCATCTGCCATTCGCAGCTACTTACTTCCAACAAGCATATAGGAAAAATATGAGTTATACAAACAGATCATAAGATGCCCTACTAAGTGGAGAAAGTAAAATTTTACGAAGTAGGCATGTTTGCAGCACGCCACCTTTCTTGTCTTCGTGTTTTGGTGAAGCATTGTAAAGCATGGTGTCCTGCTTCGACGATGTCCGTCACACGACGGACGATAGCTGAGCAAGGATTCATAGACGTCACAGGGCGGTACGCCGAGGACATATTCACAGAAATCGAGTCACAGCTCCAAGGCAAACCCCCTTCGTTTTCCGGTGAGACCAATTTACGAATCCCTTCAAACGAAATGAAAGGTACTCCAACACAAATCGATTAAGGGAGCTTTCGAAGCCCAGTTTTTTAAATACAAAAATAAAGAGTTGCCTCATTCCATCGCAAGAAGATTGAAAATAATAGCCCCAAAACGGAAAGTAAATCCTGCTACCTTATTTGATAGGCTTTCTCTTAGCAGTGTAATATTGGATTTTTACAGAATCCGCTCATAGGCTATTCTTTATCTCGAGCATAAAAAGTCACAAGATAAAAATAAAGATCAAATCACAAAGTACCTGACAGAAGATTGTCAGCTCAGTCAGTGTACTCGAATACATAGCCACTGCCCTTGACCAATCCTCAACTGGAGGATCTTTTCCAAAAGCAGCAGCCATATTTCCAGAGGCCGGTTTCAAAGGAGTCTGAGAAAATAGTAGTTGTTGTGCATTTCCGCCGCTTAACCGGATACAGATAGCTCGTACCGGGGCCGGAAGACAAGGCCACATTAAAGCTTGGAGATTGACATTAAAAGACTGCGAACCGGCCGCAGATAAGAGATCTTGTCTAGCTTCTGCCTCCTGGCTGGCTTCGAGAGCGATGCTATTAGCAGTCTGCTGCCAGGCGGCGTGACGAGCTCGCTGACGCGACCTCACCTGATGTACCCGACAGGTGATTGATAATTGTGGCCGAATTGCCACTGCCTGCCTCCAGACAGCCGAAGTGAGTGGGAACCAGCTATTGCGTCGATCGAAACTATCACCGCCGCTGCTATCACCAAGACGAATACCAAGGGGGGCAATTGCAGCAAAGTCGGGAGGCGGCTCTCTGCCGGACCGACGAATGGGTATGGGCACCTCCTCACCCCAGTCGAATGCTGTGCATCCGCCAGAAGTCCAAGCGTTCAAGGCCTCATCAGCATATGGAAATTCTAATAGAAATATTGATAGTGATACGATGCCACAAAATACAGCGAAGATGTTGATGGAGGCGGTGGTCGCGGCAACGGTAGAAGATGGTAGTCATTGCAAGAATA